TACATTATCTCGGCTCTTCGGTTATATAATGTCTGAACAGCTCACGACTAGAGAGTTTAGTGAATCAGTATGACAACTAAATTTTGTTACAATCCTACGAAAGTAAATAACACACATTTGAATTTTGCTTAGAGAAATTATTACTTTCGAAAACAAATATATTAGTACTTATACGTTTCTTACTCTTAGGTACAAGTGTATATATGAATAAGATTTGAGTTCTTTATATTAGAAATATATGTTAGATACGGCACGGAGTATTAGTTGAGTTTTATTTGGGAGCGGGTACCATGCAATGCGTAAAAATGATTTGACTTTCATGCATTATTTTTTGTCCACGTTGAATCATTTTATCTTCATTAAATCAACCATTTTAATGATTAATCAGAAAGCATTTCAAAGGGTTGTTTGTGACAGTTTTTTGCCATTTTAATGATGTAAATTTTCGCTAATTTTAATACCATTTTTCCGTTACAAATTTTGGCTGGGAAATAAAAGAAGAGTCAGTATTTTAGTAATAGTTTTCGATAGGAACAAGATTGAGATCTTTGTGAAAAAATCAGAAAAAAAAATCAATTTTTTGTGAAAAGTCTAACGATAAGACTTAGGATGGGTGTGGCTGTCGAAGTTCTATTTAATAACAGTCACATCCACACCTTCTTCTTCTAACAAATGAGTCATATTTATATTGTTGTTCACATCATTTAAGTCATTAATTTCCTGTGCGGTATATAAACAAGTACGAATACTTCATCATGATACAGTGACATTGTCGAAGCTTTGAAAAGTGATGAATGGATCAATGATTGCTACATTGTGACAATAAGATTTTTCGTTTTTTCTTTAAGTCTCTAATATTCTATATGAAATATTTGAAAGATGATTCTCTTAAGATAACACATAATATAGACGAAATAAAAAATCATAAACATCTATTTCTTTCAGTAAACATTCATTATTTACAGAATGAATCAAATCGCAGTTTTATCAAATATGACTTTTTCTTTTTATATCAAATGATCATACTTTTAGAAATGAGTAGCTGAATGATCAATATACTATTATAAGAATATTAAATAAGTTTAGTACAAAGAATAATAACAAAAAAAGAACAGATTTTTTAAGTTGATTTTAGTTTGCCACCGGTATTGAGACGTTTCTTGCGACGACGTTTGCGATCTTTCTTGCGATGAGGTTTACGAACTTTTTTTTTCTGTTTAATTTTCAGATCTGTCGGATCAGGAAAGGCTAAATCGATGATTGGAAATGGTAGTTGAGAAATTGGAATGGGTACATTTATTGGTTGTAGAAGATCGACATATGATCGACAATGTTGTTTGTTTGAAATGATTTCAGTTATTTGATTTGTGAGATGACGAATTCCTAAACATCCAACAATTATAAGATAAGATTCTCTTGAAAAAAAATCATCAGAGACGATATACTCACCTGTTGGTGAAAAATGACATCCTTCTTTGACAAACAAAGTCTTATAATTATCGCACCATGGATGCATACGTGTTAAATGTTCGAATTCGAGTTGATTGGTTATACTCAAACAGATGCTAGTAAGTTCAACAAATTGACGATTTTGTATGTCATTCAAAATCGTATGTGGAATAGGTGATATCCATATCAGAATCGGTTGACGATTCTCACGACGAGAAAAAGCAAACTTTAATTTTGTTAAAACAATAGGCAATTCTGATTCGAATCTTTGTAAAGTTGTTTGAAAATTCCAATTCATTATCTCTAATCGTTGACTATTTAAAAGCCATTAAAAACTTTTATCAAACTGAAAATCAAACAATGCAATACATACAAGGATAAATCTGGATAAGCACATGATACCACTAGAACATCAATGGGATCAGCCTGCGTGATTTGCTGCAACCATTCAATATTTAACGGATAGTTTGTATTGAGAATAGTTCCCAGATGAACAAAATATACTGCCGTCGATGAAGCTTTACAAAAAAAACGACGACAATCAATTTGATTGTACATTCCTGGAATACCACTTGTTTCAATTTGAACTTCATCTTTTAAAAAAAAATTAAAAAAAAATGTTTGAACTCAATTAAAATTTATAGAAAAAAAAATGAAGGAGTATCTTTAATTGCACCTTCATCACACATGTATCTAAAAATTAACATGTTCTATTGAGAGCTGTCAAAGATCCCAAAATTGTTCACTTTACCTAAAATTCGCTAGTGAATAGAAGGACTTTACTAATCTTTTAGAGGTTAGATTTATCAATGGACAAAAAAAGAATCAACTTAGGTTTATCCATTGTATCATGATGAACAAATGGAAGATAGCATGAAGTATTTTTATCATTTGTATTCAATAAATAATCAATATCCAATTTGTATCATTTGAAGATGTTTCATCAAAATAAATAATAATATCTTTTTTCTTCATATCTGATGTTGAATGAACATCTGATAGAGTAAAAACATTAGTTATCTCTGTTTTTTATCATGTTTCAACTAAAATATAAATCTCAGATAGAAGACTCATCTTATTTCAATAAGATAACTCACATGACAGACAAGATTATCATCTTGCTTTTGAGCTTGTTCAAGACGTATTATTTGAGTAAATTGTTTTCATCTTCGAATAAATATCAAATTAATATTATTTGATTTCATTTCACTAAGATTTTTCAAAGTTAAATTATAATTTGCTATAAAATTTTGAATATTAGAATTCAAATCATATAAAATTGAACGAATAAATGAATTTGTATTTGAGAAAGCAATATCAATAGCAGCAACAACTTCTAATAAATACTCCATTCAATGACATAAATCGTTTTCTAAAGATTTTAATAAATGATATTCAATATAAATAAATCAATCAATTAAAAATGAACATGTTGAATAATGTTGAGAAGAATAATGTTATGTTCGAAGTGTTCCCCTTCGAACATATGACGGAACGAAACGAATAATGAGTACTCCTTTCTAGTACAGTGGTTAATACGACTGTCCGGAAAGCAGGAGCTGCATGGTTCGATTCCATGCGAAGGGAGATTATTCTTTTGTTCCGTTCTGTGGTCATACCATCACGTTGCTATCTCGCTGATAACAACGCGTAACAAATAAATTAAACGAAAATGAGTTAAATAACTAGGAACAATTTTTTTCATTTGATAAAATTATTTTTCCAAATAAACGTTCAAATATTGGAAATAGATCATTATTCATTGATTGTGATGGATCAGCTATATGTTTACCTAGATTTAATTGATCAATACTCTAAATAATTTCTATAATCAATCATATTCATTTGATTTGTATCAAAACAATGTTTTAAATCAATATAAAAATCATTTTCAATAAAACTATTTAATTAAAAACAAAAACGAAAAAACAATTAAAAACAAACATATTTAAATAGACATTACTTCATTGAATTATTTGAAAAAAACTTTTTTTGTGATAAGATAACTATGAATCTTAAGAATTTGTTCAATTTGTTTTTATAAATTTGTAAATTTTTTGTTGTAAACGAAGATGAAGAAATGATTGAATTGAATTACTTAAATAAACTTGTAAACACCGTTGAGTTAAGCTTACTTTCAATAAAATAAGTCGAAATTAATTCCTAAAAAA